CATTGGGATTTATTTTAGTCAAAGCTTGTAGTCTGATATCCATAACTTGTTCATCAATTGAAATTTAAACAAGTGTTTATATTCAACTTGTGAAGATCGGCGAGCAATTAACAGGTACCCTTAAGTGCGTATTGACATTACGATCTATCGTGATTCTAGAGCTATTTTGATACCAATTTTTTTTTTCGGGATAAGATTTATGCCATTTCAAATAGATTTACAAATAGAACAAAAATAAATCCCTGGTGAATAGACGGTGAAAATCGAAACAAGAAAAAAATTGACACAGCTAATTCGTAGACTGTGGTCAGAGATAAACTGAAATAGAAGAAAGTCCAAAAAACCAAGGTTCATAGAGAAAAAGAGCTAGAAGAAGAAGGTATTTTACTAACAGAATTATGAATAAAAGAATAACATTACCCCCTTGTACCACGATAGTTTGGTCGCTTTTGGGTTCGCCTTCACGTTGCATTCAAAATAAACATCTTCACCCTCCTTAATGTGGCCCGGATTTAGAGTGGAGCCCATTTTTAATGTCACTATCGGTACATCTGGAAAAAAAGTGTTTATTTATACACAACATACGCTTACTCGTACATATATCTATTGGATACTTATCGGCTGACGAAATAATAAACAACTAACTAATACGTGCTTATTTTCATTACATTTTGTATAAAATAGTAACCGAAGTACAGTTAATTTGCTCTTTCCGTAATATCGGTATTCAAATTGTATACAATAAAAACGAAGCATTTGTTATTCAGAAATTCTGGATGCAAATAAAATAATCATCATAATATATGTTCGTTGGAACGAGTTAAATTACTATGTAACATAGCACAAAGGGAATGGTCGATGTGTAAAAGCGTGAAAATTCTTTTACATTTATTTCAGCTATTGTGCATTCGATAAAATGCCCGAGTTGGGGTTCAAAAACGAGGGCGGAGGGAACAATGAAGCGCCGGTAATCCCGCGGTGTTCGGGCCCGGTCGAGTTGCGGAACCAATTATCACTCCGTAGATTGGATGTTTTCTTAGACTACTAGATTGTTGAAAGAAAAATAATAGTAACCAACTTAAACCTTAATTAGTAATTAATAAAGTTAATAATATTCCTTATCTAATAGTAATCGAAAGAAAATGTAAGTAACTAGCGTCAATATATTGAAGCCGTTTTAACCTTTAACAGAAGTCATAGTAAATCCAGCGTACGCAATAAAATTGGTATTCTATTACTGCAGATAAGATCCATTGGACGGCGTCGTTTCATTAATTAACGACTGCGCGATTTCATCGGGACCTGCAGAATTACCACGAGGCCCGCGAGATGGCGCTGTTCTCCAACACATTGACAAACGTCCATTACACCCACTTAGCAATATTGCCTTTCATTAACATAATTCTACTTCAATTTATTGTCCAACGCAAATGATTATGTATATTTTATTCGTTGCCATTACAATAATATTAGATGGGCACTTTATTGCTCAATTCATCGAAAATCCTCAACAGTATAGGATTTGGCTTGTAACCAGGAAAAGCTATTATCGAGAACACTTTAGATTTATAAGGAAGAATTTATACGAAAAAAATATAGCAATCTCTTATTTTAACCTAAGTTAAAGTAATCGGTATACGTTAATATGTTATCGGCACTTCAATTAAACAGTTATGTACAACTTATTATTGCTTGTGATGATATATGTTTTATAAAAGTTTTCTACAGTGGCAACCCTAATTTAAGGAAGTAGACAGTAGACTTACAATGTACATTGAGCTTCCAATAGTCCTCCAGCAATGCGGAGGTGAGGCGCGGGTTCTCAGCGCGACACACCAGGCTTCGCTCGTGGTCCTCCGCCTCCGGTACAAACGTCAGCACGCTCAGTGTCGCGTTTGTGTCAGAAAACTGACACAGAAAAAAACGTTAACGTCAAAGTAAATCATGTAAATTGTATAGAAATCTTATATTTTACAAAATTATTAATTTAATCTCGAAGCTGATATACTCTAAGATATTATCATAGTGATATTTTAAAAACAAAACATAAAATAATAGTTTAATCAGTGTAAATATAAATTAAGTGCGCATTGAGCGAGCGCGCGAGGCGGGATCTTTCCCAGTTCCGAGTTCCCAATAGCAAGTTCTCAATTCCCA